ACAACCACTAGCTCTGGAGCTTTGGGGAGCAAACCTGGAAAAAGAATGCTCCAGGATCATCTGGTTTGTCCTCCCCTGTTTTCATCTACCCTTTTCCTCAGCGAAACTTATATGGGTCCAGGATGTAACATCGCAGCTGCGGCATTGGCGGATTAAGAGCCGCTGACAAATCTTCCCCCAAAGCAGGAAGAGCCCCATTTGGCCCATAGCCATGGAGTCAGAAGCAAGAGCAGAATCGAAAATGCTTTTCTCTATGTCGTTCTCTCTCTCCTACCTGTGAACATCAACCTTCCACACACGCCGGTTCAAAACCGCCTTAGTCTCTATAGGAGGTTTACCATTTTTCACAGTTCCGGTAAACCATGTTTCCTTCTTGCTTCTACAGTTCTTCCAGGGTTGAGTTTCAGGAGCTGCTCAGCAGTGCAGGCTAGTTCAATATCCTGGTTCAAAATCATCTGTCTAGTTTTGCTACTAGGGTAAAGTTTGCCTCCTAGACCAGAGTTAAGACGTGCTCCCTCGGCTTCCATTTTCTAGAGATAATTGGTATCATTTCTTCCTTAAATGTTTAGTAGGGAAACCATCTAGACCTGGTGCTTTGTTCTGGAAGGTTGTTAAGCTTTGCTTCAATTTCAGTAATAGAGATCTATTTAGGTTATCTACTTCTCCTTGTGTGAGTTTTGGTAGACTGTGTCTTTCAAGGACTTGGTCCAATTCATCAAGTTATCAAATTTGTGAACACAGAATTGTTGATAATCCTCATTTGTTATCCTTTTAATGTCCATGAGATCAGAAGTGAGGACCTTCTTTTCTTTTTTTATTAGTAATTTGTATCTTCTCTCATTGTCTCTTTGTTCACCAGCTAGATGTTTCTCAATTTTATTGATTATTTTAAAGAACTAACTTTTGGTTTTGTTGATTTTTCTCTCTTGATTTCTGGTTTTGTTTCCTTGATTTCTCCTCTAATTCTTAGTTTCTTGTTTTTCACTGACTTTGGGTTTCATTTGCTCTTGTTTTTTGAGTTTCCTAAATTGTAATCTTGAATTATTAATTGTAGATATTTTTTCTTTGCTAACATATACATTGAATCTATGAATTTCTTTCTAAGCAACAATTTTCCTGCACCTAGAAATTTTTTTGTAAGTTATACACTCATTTTCATTTAGCTAAAGATATGTAATTTGTTCCAAGACTTTTCCTTGGCCCAGGTGTTATTAGAAGTGTGTTGTCTGATCTCCAATTTTGGGGTTTTCCAGCTATCTGTCTGCTATTGATTTCTACTTCAGTTTCATACTTTGAATGAAGGGCATACTTGGTATCATTTCTATTCCATAAAATGTGTTGAAGTGTGTTTTATGGGCCAGAATATAGTGGATCTTGGTGAACATTCCATGTGAACCTAAAAAGGATATGTATTCTGCTCTTGTTGGATGAAGTAATCTAAAAAGTTGGTTGGATCCAGGTGACTGGTAGTGGTGTCCAGTTCCACTATACCTTTATTGATTTCTTGCCTGCTGGATCTGTCAATTACTGAAGCTGAAGTCTCCCACTGTAATAGTGAATCTGTCTATTTGTCCTTGAAGTTCTATCAGCTTTTGCCTCTCGTATTTAGATGCTCTGTTGTTAGGTGCATATCAGTTAAGGATTTTCGTATCTTCTTGGAGAAGTGACCTCTTTATCATAATGTAATGACTCTTTATCCCCATGATTTTCCTCCCTCTGAAGTAGGCTCTGTCTCAAATTAATATAGCTTATCTAGTTTTCATTTTTGAGACTGAATTTTGCTCTTGTTCCCCAGGCTGGAGTGCAATGGCACAACCTCGGCTCACTGCAACATCTATCTTCCAGGTTCAAGCGATTCTCCTGCCTCAGGCTCCCAAGTAGCTGGGATTAAAGGCATGCACCACCACGGTCGGCTAATTTTGTGTCTTTAGTAGAGTCGGGGTTTCCCCATATTGGCCAGGCTGGTCTTGAACTCCTGACCTCAAGTGATCCACCTGCCTCGGCCTCCCAAAGTGCGGAGATACAGGCATGAGCCACGGTGCTTGGCTGCTTCTCCAGTTTTCTTTTGATTACGATGAGTATGGTATATCTTTCTCCATCTCCTCACTTTGACTATCTCTGTGTCTTCTTATTTAAAGGAGGTTTGTTGTAGAAAACATATAGTTGGGACTCACTTTCCATTCTTCCAGTCCCTTTCAATTGGTATATTTGGACCATTCACATTTAAAGTGACTATTGATATCACTGGATTAATATGTACCGTACGTGTAACTGTTTGTATTCTTTGACTTTCTTCATTGTTTTCTTTTGTGTCTTTTACTCTTTTTCTACCTTCTCTGGCTATAATTGAACATGTTATATGATCCCATTTTTTTCTTCTTCTTAAAATATGAATTTCATTCATTTAAAAAAAAAACAGTGTTTTTGTTTTCACCCTATTGCTTGCCATATATATTTACAACTAATCTAAGTCAATGTATAAGTAATGCTATGATGCTTCATGGGTCACGCAGGTAACTTAAAAACAAAATTCCTTATTCCTTTCCTACCACCCTTTAAAACATTGCTATTATTCATTTGATGTATTCATAATGTATAATCATCCAATCTATTATTGCTATTTTTCTTATTTTGACAGACAATTATATGAATTAAGAATAAAAATAATAAAATATTTTATTTTATCTTCATTTATTTCTTCTCTAACTTCTTTCTTTGGTGTAGATTTGTCTCTGACCTTTGTAGTTTTTCTTCTTTCTGAAGAACTTCTTTTAACCTCTCATGGAAGACAAAATCACTGGTGACAAATTCCCTCAATTTTTGTTTGTCAGAGAGTCTTTATTTCTCCTTCACGTTTGAAGGATAATTCTACAGAATTCTAGGTTAGCAGGACTATTTTTCCTCCAACACTAAATATGTCAGCTGCATGCTGTTCTTGCTTGCATGGTTTATGAAGAGTAGTCTAATGTAATGCTCATCCTTGTTCTTCTAAGGTAAGGTGTTTCCTTTCTCTAGCTTCTCTCAAGATGTTCTTTGGTCTTTGATTTTCTACATTTTCTATATTATATGTTGTGATGCTTAATTGTATGTGTAAATTTGGCTGGGCCATGGTGCCCAGATATTTGGTCAAATATTATTCTGATGTTTCTGTGAAGGTGTTTTTTGATGAAATTAGACATTGAAATTAGCGAACTTTGAGTAAAGCAGATGACCCTCCATAGTGTGAGTTGGCCTCATCTAGTCAGGTGAAGGCCTTAATAGTATAAAACCTGACCTCCCCCTAACAAGGAGGAATTCTGCCAGCAGATTCCCTTTAGACTTGAACTGCAACTCTCTCCCCTAAGTCTCCAGCCTGCTCGTCTACCTCATCAGATTTGATCTCACCAAGCATCCACAATTATGTGAGCCAATTCCTTAAAATCAATCTCAATCTCTTTCTCTCTCTCTCTCTCCTCTCTCTCTCTCTCTCTCTCCATCTTTATTTCTATCTATCTTCTGTTGGTTCTGTTTCTCTAGAGAATGTTTACTAGGACTTGCATGCCTAGGTGTACAGTTTTTAGTATTTACCCTGCTGGGTGTTCTCTGAACTTCTTGGATCTATGGCTTGGAATCTCTTATTAATTTTGGAAAAATACTTCTTTTCTTCCCGTGAGAGTTAGTTTTATGTGTCAACATGGAGAATGTTTTTGGATGAGACTAATACTTAAATTGGTGAATCTGGGAAAAGCAGATTGCTTTTCATGATGTGAGTGAACCTCATTCCGTCAGTAGGAGGCCTGACTAGAACAAAAAGACCAGCGTCTTCAAGCAAGAGGGAATAAGAGCAAATTCCCTGACAGATGACCTTTGGAATACATCTGTACCATCAGTTCTTCTGAGACTCCAACCTGTCAGGCCACACTGCAGATTTCAAACTTCCCAGCCTCCATAATCACATGAACCAATTTCCTGTGTGGTCATTTCTCAACATCACTGGGTGATCGGTGCCAGGACCCCCTGCAGATAACAAAATCCACGGATGTTCTAATTCCTTATACAAAATGATGTAGAATTTGCAGATAACCTACTCACATCCTCCCGTATGCTATATAAATAGTGGTTATGTGGTATTGTTTAGGGAATAATGACAAAGAAAAAAGTCCATATATGTACAGTACAGACACAATCATAAGTTTTCAAAAAATATTTTGGAGTCAGGCCTGGTTGAATCCATGGATGCAGAACCCACAGATATGGAGGATCAAATGTAATAAATCTCTCACTCTTTCTCTCTCTCTATATATATATATGTGTGTGTGTGTGTAGTGTGTGTGCATTTTTATATATATATATATAGTGTGTGTGTATGTATATGTATATATATGACCTATTGATACAGTGGTAAGGAGTAGGGGAGGGAAGTGTTCTATAATCCTATGATTAGGTCTCAGTCTTGTGGTGGGCCTGTGCCCCTGGGCTATGACCTTCAAAAGTGCTTCTCAAATTTTGTTCCCTCTTAGGTGAGACAGGATGGCTAGAGGTCGCTGGAGTTGGGTTTTTCCCTTTCCCCACATTGGTTAGACTCTGGAAACACAATTTTCTTTGGAGGGCACGTGTTTGTTAAGTAGAACAGAATGCACCGGGCATGTTTTTCAATGGTTACCTCTCCTTCCCCTCCAGAAGCATGCAAGGAGTTGTCTCCGATTCTCACCCTAAGTCTTCTGGAGACAAAACTCATGAAGATATGGGAGGCTCCCACTAGTTAGGCCCCCAGGAGTTTTTACCTCTCAGGCTGGGCTGCTGTCAGCTCCAGCAATTAGCCAATTCCCTTTGAATTATGTCTACCCAATGCTGGCTCCAGCGGTGGTTTCTGATTCAGGTAAGTTGTGATTCTCTGTATTTGCCCATGGCTCGAAGTTTCATAGGACTGGCATGTCTTAGGACCTCTATTTTCTGTTGCATATAAGTAGAGTTATTGATGTTCGGTTTGTTCAGCTTTTTTTCTGGTGAGAGTGGGAGTGATGGCTTTTAAGCGCTTTACAAGTCTAGTTGTAATGTCTGATAACCATGTGACAATTTTAGATCTCTTTAAAAAAATAATATGTTTAATTCAGGAATTGCGGAAAGCCTTGCAGCAGCTACAAGAAGAAATGCAGAACAAGAGCCAACAGCTTCGTGCCCGGGAGGCTGAAAAATACAATGAGATTCGAACCCAGGAACAAAACATCCAGCACCTCAACCATAGTCTGAGTCACAAGGAGCATTTGCTTCAGGTGAGTTTACATGATTTCAATGAAAACTGGGCTCATAGAACTCTGAAATTTGTTTATATAATTTTAAGATATTATTCCACCTGTGTTGAGTCCCCGCTATATGGAAAACATTGAGAGGTGGGAATCAAGAGGATTTAAAATAAATAGAAAACATAATTTGTGAATTAAGATGCTTACTAACAAGTGTAAGAAACAGTACATATAGCCCTGATTTAAGCAGTCTTTTATGAAGTCTTTTATAAAGACTTAATATTCAGAAAATAGTCATTAAGCACCTCTGTGAGTCACACACTTTTCTGGGTGTTGGGAAGACAAAATATTTGGCTACTGTTCTCAGTTTAATAGACGAAGACAAAAAACTGTACAGAAACTTCCACAGAGTCATTTTGATGATAGAATGAAAGTTTGAGGGGAAAATGGAGCATTAAGAAGAGACTGATCTCTTCTGCCACCTACTCTAAGCTTCAGTCACATTGAATCCACTACATTTCACTGAATGTACAATTTTTTCATTGTATGTGTAGTGTGCATTTTTTTTTTTTTTTTTTTTTTCTCTCTAGCATACCGTCCTCTCTCCTTTCTTCACTTAGGAAATCCTAGTCCTTTAATTAGGACTCACGGCAAATGTTACCTCCTCTGTGAGGTCTTTACTGACACCTGCAGGCAGAGTTAGGCAGTGCATCCTGTGTTCCCCTGGTAGCTAGGTATGATGCAGAACAGTTAATTCTATGTGTTGTGTCTGTTGTATGTTGCAGAATAGTTTACAATTTATATGTCTGTTATCTCTGCTAGATTTGTTACTTTTGAGGAAAGTGATCACATCTCTTTTATCCTGAATAACTAACAAATTACTTGGCAATTTGGTTAATATTGAATAAAAGAATAAAAGAAACTATGTTTTTGTCTCAGGAATTTCAGGAGTTCCTACAGTATCGAGATAACTCAGACAAAACCCTTAAAGCAAATGAAATGTTTTTTGAGAAACTTCGCCAGCACATACATGATAAAGCTGTTGCTCTGGAGGTATGTATCACCATTTTGCCCACTATGCGATGGATTATTCTATTTACATAGGTATTACAGAAATTTGTGTTCACCTAAATTTGCTGCTTTGGGATTTGGTTTTCTATTCGGCCGTCTTGTGGAATAAGAGTGATCAGGATAGGTTATCGAACAGATGCTGTGTGAGCACTTGGAAAATAGTGAGCATTAGAAACCAGAATTTCTCTAAGAGCAAGGTAGGACAGATTAAATAAGTGGAATGAAGGGTTTTGCAAAGAGAGAGATGCAACATTCTCCAGGCTATGGGGGATGTTGAGCCAGTATGCTCTTGCCCACCAACATAAGGCCTTCCTTCCCTGCTCCTTAACTCTGTCAGGGCAGATGTGCTTGGGGTCCTCTTCCTGCTGACCTCTGGCCCCATCATAATAAATCAATCCTCCTGTGTTCCTCTCACCAGAGCACTCCCAGGAAACGGAAAGCCTGAGGGAGGCTCTGCTGTCCTCTCGATCCCACCTTCAAGAGCTGGAAAAGGAGCTGGAGCATGAGAAGATGGAAAGCAGCAGCTTTTGGAAGACTTAAGGGAGAAGCAGCAAGAGGTCTTGCATTTCAGGGAGGAACGTCTTTCCCTCCAGGAAAATGACTCCAGGTAAGAGGGGACCCATTGACAGAGAAGGAAGCATTCTTCATTCTTATGTTCATTCTTACATTAAAAGAAGGGATATTGGCAAGACAATTGGTGTCCTCTTTTGGAAACCTCAATGTTCCCTCTGTTATTCCTGATTTTTGTGTGTTGGGGCGGGGGGGTGCTTTGAGCAGAAGAAAGGACTTCTCTGTGAATGCCTTGTCACTCCCAAGTTGAGAGAGTAAAACTCTGTTGTAGAAGTTTTCAATATATGAGAGACATGAAAAAGAAGGGTTTCCACGCTTCCAGTTAGATATAGGACATTAGTCTCACCATCACCTAGGAAGCTTCTATACTGGCTGTGATGCTTGGTCCCAGCAAAAGCCCTGTAACTGCTTGTCAGAATGCAAAGAGCACTGTAGGAGCAGTAAGGAGACTGCTGGTGTGTCTGTTCTGCTCTGAACTAATGTAGGTAATGGTGTGTTTTCAAGCAAAGTTACTTGACCTCCCTCAGCCTCCATTTTCACATCTGCAAAATAAAAGTGATGGTCTTCATGACCCCCTGAGTTGACATCTGGGGCTCAGATGTAACCCTAACCGTAATCTTTATGACCCCCTGAGTTGACATCTGGCTCTCAGCTTATTGCTCTGGTGTGACTGAGTGGCTCTGCCATCTCAGTGGGCCTTGCCTCTCCCTGGTCAGACTGCAGCACAAGCTGGTCCTCCTGCAGCAACAGTGTGAAGAGAAACAGCAGCTCTTTGAGTCCCTCCAGTCAGAGCTACAAATCTACGAGGCACTTTATGGCAATTCCAAGAAGGGGCTGAAAGGTATGTGTTCTTCTCCCCTCACCCCATGAGCTTTTTACCCTTGCATTGGATGCTAGTGAGGTCTTAGGTCTTTCCTTTGGGAGTTGTGGAGATCAAGCTACAGAGTTCTGTCTCAGAAACCCCCACCCAAGCCTGGGGCTCCCAGTAGGAACTCTCATACACAAAGCCCAAAGGGACAGGTTGGTGGCATGAGCAAGACCCAGCCTGATCATTCCTAATTACTTTAAGAAAACATTCCTATCAATATCTAGATCATAACATTTTTAAAGCAAAAGAACTGTCCTAATGATATCACAATTTAAAAAGGCCTTTAATATTGTCAGTAATACATACTGACAACCCATTCAGCCCAATGCAGCAGGCAGTCTGCTCCCACCCTGACCCTTTCCCTAGTGACATCTGGCTCTCAGCTTATTGCCCTTCCATTTAATTTTCGTAAACCCTGATTTAGTTTCCTGATTTTCTAAAGAGAAGGTGAACTGGAATTTGAAGAACTACAGGGGCTTACCAGGCTGGGCGAATAGCTTAAGTACAAAGCCATGGTGAGTGTTGAGTCAGTGGGGACCAGCCTGCCCACAGGAGAAAATTAAAAGACACGAAAACAAAACAAAACAAAAAACCTTATAGAAATACCACTAATAGGACCTAAATTTCAATCCTGGATTTAAATGTTAAGGACATTTATTGAAGACTTTGCTACCTGCTTAAATAATAATCTAATATTTGAGAATTTTGATATATTTTTTCATTCTTCTTTAAATGGAGAAGGGTACTCAAAACATACTATTAATAAGTCACAGCAGGCTGCAACAGAGGACTGACATCAATGTCATGAAATTTAGCAAAGATAAAAAGCAAAATCCTGAGCTCAATTACAAATATCAGTGATAGAAATACAGGATGAGGGTAGAAATATAGGACAGGCAGCCGTTCATGGACTTGAGGGTTTGGGGTTTGGTAGAAACATGTTCACACAAGTACAGGCCAAAGGTTGCTAGATATACCAGCTCAATCTGACGCTATGGTAGTGTAAGTGTGATGTTCACCTGTGGGGACCATGTCTAAAATATTGTTAGATTAAGGGGCACCATCTTTGAAAAGGGCATTGACACACTAAGGAACATAATGAAGACAGGGCGCACAATGGTGTGGCCCAGAAATCTCCAACTGGTCAAAGAAACTAAAGAAATTTAGGCTTTCAAAAGATCTTGAGGACATGAGAACTGGCTTTGGATATTTGAAGAACTGTCAGGTGAAAAAATCTCATGTATTTTATGTCCCTCCAGAGGGCTAAGCAAAGGTGAAGGGCAGTGGAATTTAGATTCGAATTATCATAAATCCTGATTTAGTTTCCTGATTTTCTAAAGAGAAGGTGAACTGGAACTTGAAGAAATACAGGGGGCTCACCAGGCTCGGAGAATAGCTTAAGTACAAAGTCATGGTGAGTGTTGGGTCAGTGGGACCAGCCTGCCCACAGGAGAAGCTTCGGGTTGGGGGAGTGAGAAGTCAGGATGGAGGAGCAGAGTCCCCAAATCTTGAAAGCCCACCGGTCAGGGTGGAAGTTGACATTCTGTATAGAGATAATTAAATTAAGTCTGTTTTTTTTCAAAGAAGATAAGCATATGATGAAAACAGAATTTTAAGATGCTAAGTCTCAGGGGATGTCCTGGAGTTGGGAGACATTAGAATCTGGGAAACCTATTGGATGGGTCTAGCGCTATTCTGGCACATTAAGAGATGACAGTCTAATATAAGGTGCTACTGGGAAAATGAAAGGGTATAGATAGATTTTAAAACATCTCTTTAAAAAATAAGTAAAATTTAGTGAGAACTTGGATTGAGGAAGAAGAGAGGAACATCATAAAACTTTGGGCAAAATTCAAGAGTAGATTATTTACCAAAGTCTCTAAAACTACTTCATCCTGAGCTACCTTTCCTTTCATGCTTTTCTCCCTGCCTTTTAGGACTCATTTCAAAGCTACAACCACTAAAGCTCCATAATCTCTTCTCTGTAATTTCAAAATTCATTAAGATCTCCAAATTAAAAATTTTCAAATACTCATTTAGTGACAAAATCTAGATGAACTGACAAGAGGATATTCATAAGTCTTTATTTATCTACTTAGAATATTCACATAGCTGATTGCAGAGATAGTTATATGTTTTATTAAGGATTGTGGCTCACATGCAACTGGGTACATGTTATATATGATATATGCACCCTGTTGCCTTGCTAAAAACTAAAACAAATTTTACCTTTCAAAATACATTTGGCCTTAAGGTTTTCATACAAGGTATTGTGGCCTTGTAGAATATTTCTTATATCTCTTCATCCTCAGTACAAAGACATAAACTACATGTGGTGAATGCAGGTAAATATATATACATGTATACATGTACATATATATGTACATATATGCACCTATATATATTATATACACACACAACATATATACACACTGTATATAGGTGTGTGTATATATATGTACACACACACACACGCATATATATATATCTATAGAGAGAGAGAGAGAGAGAGAGATACAAGTTGAAAAACTCAGTTATAATCCCTGGTCTAAGGTGTCCAACTCACATTCTCATACGCTACCAAAAGGCCTCCTCCTTCTCCTCTTTCATTTCTGAGAGTAAAGACTGTCAAATCTCTTTCTCCCTCATCCCCTACCCTTCTCTAGCTCAGTGCTGGCCTTCTTCTACCTTGGAGGATTCTGTACTTTAGCCTACAGGACTGAGGTTACTATAGAGATGAAATATGGACTTATCCTCATCTGCCAATCAAATGCTCTATAGGTGCATGTGTGTAACTTAAACCGCAGGGAAGTTTCAGACTGGATGTGTGCCAGCTCAGTGCCATCCCAAGGCCACACACAGAAATGGTGACATCTCTATCATAGATGGGTTGCATGAGACTCAGATGATAGTGGGATCCTTGGCAGAAAAGAATGTCACAGAGGAGGGTTCTGACAAGTGCTTGGAAATACTTGGGTCAATGTTACCAGACTCCTCTTCTCTCTTAGCTTACAGCCTGGATGCCTGTCACCAAATCCCTTTGAGCAGTAACCTGAGCCACCTGGTGGCAGAGGTACGAGCCCTGAGAGGGCAGCTGGAGTAGAGGATTCAGGGGAACAATTGTCTGCGACTGCAGTTGCAACAGCAGCTGGATAGTGGTGCTGGCAAAGCCAGCCTCAGCCCCTCCTCCGTTAACCAGAACTTCCCAGCCAGCGTTGACCCTGGAAACAAGCAGCTGCTCCTCCAAGGTAGGAAGGAAAAGGGCCTTAGAAAGCCCTCGGCCAGTGGGGAGATCACCAGGATGTCTGTGGCAGAAGGTACAATCTGCCTGGTCCATGCTCCTTGGGGTCAGGTTGAAATTAGAAATGTTCTAGTTTAGCAGCCTGAGTGAAGCATGGGATTTAGGTCAGACCAGGCTCCAGGTTCTGAGCTTAGAGGTCGTTTGATTTGGGCAAGGTGTTTAAAGTCTCAGAGGTTTAAGCCTTAGTTTCCTCATATTTAAGATGAGGATAATAATAATATATACCTTATATGATTTTGAGCATTAAATGAAATCACTTACAAGTGCTTGGCACACTAAGAATTGCTCAGTAATTAGCAGCTACGTATGTTCATATCATTTTCTTGGATTTGCTTAGTGCTTTAGTATTAGCCAACCGTTTTCACATATATAATTTCATCTGAAGTAAAGCAGGTTTTGCTCTCTCTGTATTTCACATAAGAAAACTTAGGTCTTGAGATATTAACAGACAAGCGAGGGTTTAGAGAAGTTATAGACAAAGTCAGGATCAGAACCAGGTGTTGTGATTTTCAGTCTGTGTTCCTTCCAGTTCATGGTGCCCTGTCTCCATATTGCCGACCTTTCCAGATTCTCTAGTCTCCCTTTCCCTCACAGGTGGGGAACTCAGTGTGTGGCAAAATGTTCCTGTACCTAAGGAAACAGGGCTCTGGGGAAGTCCTGGATGGTGGGTGATTTATTTTGGGTGGCCATCATTCGCTTTCTCTACCCCACCTCTTGCCTGCCTTTTCAGGTAGGCGTGTTTGACCAGGTCCCCCTTCTCTTCTCAACATCCCCCATCAATCTCACTTCTCCCAGTTTTCATTGAAATGTCAGTGGTGTCCCCCTAGTCTCTTAAATCGTTCCATTTCTACTTCCTCTGTCCTTTTTTCCTTTTAATACACTATTTAGTACACCATCTCCACTCACCTCCATGGCCACACCTTCAATTTCATTCAAATCAGGAGCCACTTCTGTTCAGTTTCTCTAAAGCTGAGCTTTCAAACTCTCCTGCCAGCTATTTCTGGGTCATGTGAATCTTTATGTTTCTCTGGTTCTTGTAGATGCTCATTTATCTGATAGTAACCTTATTTGTCAAATGAAGGTGACAATAACATGATTATGCTGTTTTGGCAATTCAATAAAAAAAAACACACGTACGCCGCCAAGCAAACCACCTGGCCGCCAGGAACTTCTCAGCTAACGTTAGGTGGACGCCTTGCCCTCCTCTGGGCTGCCCTGATGGTTGTGGTGTTCAGTTATGTCTCCAACTCTTCCTTCTAACCAGGCCTTCCCCTCTCACTGGCTTCCCACACAGCAGCCCAGACTCAGCTCCACTGGCACCGTCCCTGCCCGCTTTCTCCAGCACCCCCGAGGCCTGAGCTGGAAAGCAGGCACTGGGCCACACTTGCCTGAGCAGGACCTTTTCTACCTTCTTTGTGATATTTTCCAATTCCTCCACTATACGGTTGCTTTTTAGTCTCCAGCAAGACAACGTTAACCCACCAAGCCTTCTGTCTCCGTTCTTCTCATACAAGTCAATTTTTTTCAGTATTGGCTCATCAGAATGATGACTACAATGTTGAGTTTAGTCCTCCATAAATCCATTCATTCCTTGGTTCCTTGATTCTACATTTTAATATGTGCTATGTATATTTATACACATTACATTTAGTTACAGGGCATCGTATTAGATACCACACACAAATTATACTCAACACTCAGTTTATTAAAATACACCTAATAATTTTTCAAACTAGAGGTTTCTTTCTCATGGAACACCCCTCAGTCAAAGGAATATCTTTTTGTTCTGAAGAATGGAAACATTCTGAACTCAGTGACTCACTGGTTTTTGCTTTTGCTTGTAGGGTATGGATAATTCTGTAAGAGGAGAGTCCTGCCACCTTAGGCCTCAGTGGGGACGGCTAGGTGTGCATGTGCTTCACAAGCAGGGTGTTCCAGGGTTCCTGAAAACTGTGACTGCCTTTACCCCCTAGATTCAGCTGTGTCCCCTCCAGTCTGGGATGTTGCGATCAATTCCCCAGCTCTGGTCTTCCCCAGCTCTGCTTCCTCTACTCCTGGCTCAGAAACGGCCATAATCCACAGAACAAATGGTAAATATGGCAACTAAAGGGCCCAGGGACTGATGATGGAAAGTGATTAATGCAAGCAACCTTTTGTTGTCTGTAAACATATTATCTGTATTTAGAGAGTTTTCTCTGCATGCCCCGAGGCCTTTAGCCCTACTCACTGCACCTTCTGTGGCTGCCTTTCTTGCCATTGTTCATCCTCCTATAGTTTACCTACTGCTGTTTTTGCTGCACCATAATCTCTCCATTCTTAAAAACACTCTCTGTATCCAGCTTGATTTCCTTGTCTGTGTCTGTGTATTTATTATGATTCGTCCTATTTCATTTGCCAATAAGGAAAAAATTGTCTCCTGGCAAATTTATCAAGAGATAATGTAAGAAACATTATAGAAGTATAGAAGCCAGAAGATCTCCATGGACTTTGCCCCACCCTTGTACATTCCAAGGCTTCCTTTCTTGTTCCCAGCCTCTTCCTTTTCTTGTCTCCTACCTCTTTTGAGTTGGAGTAAACTGACAATATCATTATGAATAACAGAAGATTCTGTGTGTTGTTATTTTCTTTTTCAGGGTTGGGTTTGGATACTTCTCCAGTAATGAAGAGCCCTCCCAAGCTGGAGGGTGATGCTACTGATGGCTCCTTTGCCAATAAGCATGGCCGCCATGTCATTGGCCACATGGATGACTACAGTGCCCTAAGACAGCAGATTGTGGAGGGCAAGCTGCTGGCCAAAAAGAGTGTCTCTTGTGAGGTCAGCGTGCAGCTTCCCTGGCCTTGAAGCCCAAGGCACAGAGGTAATCACACCTGTAGCTTTAGATGCACTGTTTCCTTGTGCCCTTTCTTCCTTTGATGTTAACTCCGTCTCCCGCCATTTTTGTTTTTTGGTTTTTGTTTTTCATGCTTTGCATCTCTCAACAGCTGAGGCTTCCTCTTCCATGTACAGCAGCCAGGCCCTGTCTTCTCTATTTTCACTGTCAGTTCTGCTCTGTTCCAGATGTAGCTGACTGGATATTTCCCCTCAGCCCCACAGAAACATGTGGCATTGCCTAGCAGCCTTTGGTAGCTTATTATCTACCACACTCGTGAAGGCACGTGACCATCTGTGGGCAGAGTTGACACAATGGGGTGGACAGAAACTGAAGGATTTGCAGGTGTATGGCCCCCACATGTGGAAGGGGTGAGAAGCCTGGCAGCCATGGCATTTCCTTGTGCAGACTGCATAGAAGGAGGGAAGGCAGTCAGCAAAGCTTCTCAGAGCGCCTTGCCAGTGAGAGAGACCAGGCACCAGGGCTGTGCTGTCTGAGCTGCTGGAGACCCATGGATGCGTAGGGACAGCCCTGCCTCCACGGAACCCCACACTAGAGGGCAAGACACAAGTAGATCAGCACAGTAAGGGGCTACAGACACAGCATGAGAAGCCATCCTCTGTGCTGTGAGGCCGCCAATGCAAACGTGGTCATTTATCTCAGGCAAGGAAGGTAACAGGTTCATAGAGGACACAGCAAGGGGGGTGAGTTTTGAAAGCCTTGTGGGTTCTGCAGGTGGAGGGAGGCATACCTGGTAAAGGGACCAGCACCTTAGTTCTGAGAGCTGCAAATGGTTGTGCGAGGGCTTCACAGTTCAAGCAGGCCCATGTTCTGTGCCTCACTCACAAAGGAAGCGGGAGCCCATGCAGGGGGAAGAAAGTAATCTCTCCACTCCTGTGGTGTTACCTTTCCCCAGGTGCTGGGCAGCAAAGGCATTCGTGAGCTTCGGAGCAGCACCAGTGCCCTGCACTACGCCCTAGAGGAGTTGGCTTCCCTCCTCACCGTCTTCTGGAGAGCGGCCCTGCCAAGCACCCACATCCCTGTGCTGCCTGGCAAAGTGGTAAGATGCCAGTGTCCTTTCTTGGTTCGAACCCAGTTTTCCTGCCCTCCAATACTGTTCTGTCTCCTCACTGTCACAGCTTTCACAGAAAATCAGGAGCCACATAGTGAATTGGGATAGACAGGACCTTAGAGGAGTGTCCCTGGAGGGACATCTCTGATCCATGGTGGCTGCTTTCATTGCAGCTCTGAATACATCCCATTCCCTGCCAGCCCCCGGCCCCTGGTAAGAAATCAAAGAAGAAGAGGAAGGGGTGTGGAAAAGGCGGAGACATCATAACCCTGGCAATCCATAAAGGTTCAGTTTCTTTACCTCTCTGAAGTTTGGCTGAGCTGAAATTCAGTTAAAGCTTCAGCACCCACCTCCCACCCCTCAGGTCCCACGGTCACATGATCACAGAATGCCCCCATGAGACTGAGCCTTTTCAGCCGCTGCCTGGAATTCCAGCATATCACTTCAGCTGGCATCTCTGGACCAGGCCTGGGGAAAGTCAGCCACCCCTCAGGATCTGCTCAGAGCTCAGGCTAACTCTGATTGGCAGACCCTCGAGGAGACAGGTTTCAGGATCCCCTCCCCAGGGATCCCAGCTCCAGATCAACGTCACCAACACCTTTGGGATCCAGCTAGGCTCATTCCAGGGAGACGGTGTTTTGCCATCTCCATATTGGCACAAATATTTACAAACTTGCAAACTTTCCTGAATCCAGATCTCTCTCCCGAATATATCATTTCTGAACTCTCAATCTTGCCTGTGAAGGGAGAGTGACAGAACTGATATCAGGACTAAAGCAAGGTCCTCTTCAGAGTTGGGAGTTTTATTCCAGCCTGAAGTGACATTCTCTTAAGCTACAGGTGTGTGGGCCTGTGCTAGTCTACATGGGGAATTACAGAGTCTCAATATTTCTACCTAATGGCCTCATCCTAAACTGTCCTCAGCTGGAGGTATCTGAGGCTGTGAAGGAGGAAATCCAGTTCAGGAGGGTAGAGAAGATTGTAGAATCCTTCTTGGAATTGGAAAGAGCCACAAAGCACAGGGTGCTTTAGTCCTTCTGCCTGTTCGGTAACAGTCTGTTCCTCTTATCCAGGGAGAATCAACAGAAAGGGAACTTCTGGAACTGAGAACCAAAGTATCCAAACAGGAGCGGCTCCTTCAGAGCACAGCTGAGCGCCTGAAGACCGCGAACCAGCAGAAGGAGAGCATGGAACAGTTCATCGTCAGCCAGCGTAGGTTCCCTGAGAGGGAATGGGGGAAGAAACGGGCAGTCTTCCCGATGCCCCACTTGTGCTGCAGAGGAGCAGTGACCGGGGGGCTTGGAGATGTTGGGAGTGGTGACTGATTTGATGTCCCCAAACCTCCTGTGCCACAAGCAATTGTGGATGAAGAGGGAGGGGAGGACAGGTTGGATAGAAGGAGACTCCAAGCCGAATGGCCAGAAAGAAATAAATGCTTTAGAATTCTCAGCTAAGCAAGTAGGGTTAATTTCTGCTGTGGATTTCTACTCTGTGGTGCTCTTTTGTTGTTTCAGTAACCAGAACACACGATGTTTTAAAGAAGGCAAGGACTAACTTAGACGGAAGGAAACTACTGCACCAGTCAGAGGCACCAAGCCTGTCCCCAACCCACCACCATCCATTAGCAGATCTTGTAGGCGACCTTGGCCTGCTTTGGCCTTCCAGGAGAAGATTTTGGGTCCGCTTGCAAGATCACAGGTCCTCAGTGAGAGTCCTGCTAGTTTCTGTTCCCATCACCCTCCCACCCCGTCAGCTCCTGCCCCTGTATCTTGGTTCACTCTCACATTGTCATCATCTCTCTTTTTCACTCCAGTTTTTCTTCTTTGATGCCGAGTCAGGAATCTGGAGAAATGCAATTCAGCTGACTCTTGAAGTCATTAGACATTCGGGAGTCTGCCTCGGAATAAGCTTTTGGTAGAGGGATCTTGAGGCCAGTTATGTGTTCTACTCTTCATGAAAAAGTAAAAGCAATTTGCAACCTAGTAAACTGATTTCACTGCACACTCCTGGGTTAAGAACAGCAATTTGATTTTGCTGTATCTTTAAGCAACATGACAAAAGAGATCTGTTGGGTCTCATTTGTCTAAAAGAGAATTTGTTAGTAAATAACAACTGAATCTTCAGGAGAAAAATGTTACAAATGTACCAGACATTATCTATGTTTACTTAAAACACTAAGTGTTAATCATTCCCTAGGAAGTGCTTTGAAGAAAAACTTGAGGTATATGAAATGGTTTAAAAATCAGAAACTAAACCTGGACTTCAAAGCTTTGCCATAAGCAATTGAGCACATTCCTAGAAATGTTTCTAAACTGTAACCTGAGAGAATGTTGATCTCCACAGTGTGAAAATGGCTTGGGCCAGTTTAACTTGCTCTTTTTTTTAATTTTTTCACTAACTCCCTTTTGTTTTTCTCTGATAATTCTTCTCTTTCCTGAGCCTCTTTAGAGCAACACTTACAGGATTGCCTCTGTAAAGCCTTATTCCTGTCCCGGAAAAGGTAACCCAAAAGTCTCTAGTATCCACTAAAAGGTAACCCAAAAGTCTCTAGTATCCACTGGCTTTCTCCAGTGTGGAAGCTTTCCCCTCCACCTCCCATAGATCACTGGAAAGGACCCGAGGCCTCAGTTCTAATCCCTGGCTTATCACTAACTGGCGTGTGGCTTCGGCTTGTCCCTTAGTCTCTGTGAGACTGCTGCACCCTCATCTGTCAAAGATGGAACTGGACTTAGTTGAGCTTTGAGGTCCTTGTGGACTTGGCCCCTCCACACCCTCATTATGGCGACTGGACATAAACTTAACAGAGGACATCCCCACAAAATGTCCTCTTCTTCCTACAACAGGCTGTTTCTATATGTGCATGTTTCACGCTAAGCACTTCTTTCTCGGGTGGAGATGGCAAAGGCCTCTTTCTGCTGAGACAAAGTGATTTGGAGAGTCACCTGGACCCTAAAGAGGCAGTGGTAGGATCCAGCCACCCAGTGTGCAGTGAATTGGAGCAGGGATCTCAGCACACAGGGAGGTGGGGAGGCTCCCCGTAACCTCGGGCACCTGTTGCTTCTCCAGACTGCAGCGCATGCTCTTAGCTCATCCTCTTAACTGGCTCTCACCATGCTCCTGGCTTTGGTCACCCCATAGCTCTCACTGCAGCTTCAGGTAGCCATCAGTAGGGCCTGGCAACATACACTGATTTGGATTGTTTTATTTTTGTCTGCAGGTGAAATCCCTAAGGGCTCTGTCATGTACTGCAGTCTTGTGACCCTTGCCTTCCAGGCACCATGCAAGAAGCGCAGCCACCAGAAGTCCTTAAAACAGCAGGAAAGGTGGGCCTGTCCCCGTTTTGTGCAGCTACCTATCTGCTGAGGAGCATCTGGGCCTCGTTCCTCCAAGTCCACCAGAGGGTCCAGAAGAGGGAGTCAGAGGTGTATCCTGGTGGAGCTGGGAGAAAGCCAGAAAGCCTTTCTGAGAGCTATGGAATACCGTTAGCCAAGGTCCACCTGGCCCAGCACTAAGCAGAAGATGCGTAGTTTGCATAGAAGGTTTCGTGGTACTGCTTCTCAACAGCCCCAGCAGCTTGGGAACTAGCAACAGCACATTTCTGCCTCATCAGCTGTCCTGAGATGGAAAGTTCAGTGGATATAGGACCCTGATTCCGATGAATGGGGCATGTGGTACCAATGCTGGAGCTCCTCTGGCAGGTTCTAAAAGCACGCTACTGAGCAGCGGTGCCCTGCCGGACACTGCTGGCGGGCACTCAGTGAGCACTACTCACAGATCCACACCTGACCCTGTTGGGTCGAGTCAGGCTGGGCTTTGGTCTGCACTGTAGCACCTGTGTTCTTTGAGTTCACATCATGAATGTGGTGACTTCCCAGATACCATCTCAGGCTTAACCTAGCACATCCAATTTCTTTTCTTCTATGGTATCCAAATTGGACTGACCTCACTTCAAATATGCTGTCCCATTTTGTCAGCCTATCTTACCTCAGGGAAATTGGGGACTGATGGCCAGACCAACTCTGTTGAAATTCTTGCATAGAGCAAACCTGTGCTCATTTTTAAGTGGCATGGGAGAGGCCCCCAGCCATAGTAAAGCCTAGTCTGTGTCTTCGCAGTGCTGATAGAATACGTGTGTGTGTATAAATGTATGACATAGATTTATATACGTTGCTATTGCCATATATTGAAGGCCAACATAACCGGTGGACAGGGTGGGTGACAGAAAATGAAAATGTTTTTGGTGATTATTAAAGCAAAATGTGTATTTAAAAAAATAGTTTTTCTTTCGCTGCTTTGTTTCCCATTTCTGCCCCAATCCCTTGACAGTATAAAGAACTGGAAAGGGAAAATGGGAAAGACAAACTGTGTTGAAGAAGTGCACAGTCTAACGCCCGAACTCTAACTTTAAAAGATTAAGATTTTCCTTCTTTGTCATTTTGTCAGAATCCCCAGTCTGAGAATATGAAAGAATGCTTCTTAAACTTGGTGTGCCTTAGAAGCAGCTGTGGAGATTATACGAGCTACCTGCTGGTCTCCAATCCCAGGAGATTTAGTTGGTGTGAGCCCTAGAATCTGCATTTTTTTTTTTATATAAGCACCCCAGGTGATTCCATTACATGTGGGCTGCAGATCACAGTTTAAAAAAACAGTGTTGTATAACATTGAATCAAAACTAAAACGACATTTAAGAACCTTGAATCAAAAAGCATGTCATTCCATAAACAATATAAAAATTTTAAAATATTCCTTGGGAAACGTTCTTAGCTACATGCTTTTGATCCCCAAGATTTAAATAAAGCTATCACTTCACAATTATTTACTAGAACATGTAAAAACTAAAAACAGGTAGAAGGTGGAGTAAGATGGTAGAATAGAATTCTCCAGCAATGGTCTCCCCAAAGGAACATCAAATTGAACAACTGTCTATGCAAGAAAACACTTTCACAAGAGCTAACCAGGTGAGAGATCACAGCACCTGCTTTTAACATGATAATAAGAAAAGATGATTGAAGAAGGGAGGAAGGACAGTCTTGCATTGCCTATGCCACCTCTCCCCCAGCTACAGGAAAGCATCTCCGAGAGAGAATCTAATGGCTTGGGGACAAAGAGGAAAGTGTAGGGCTTTATATTGAAACTTAGTACCAGTCTTGCCATAGTGACACACGGCACTGGACAGAACCCCACAGCACTTGATTCCAGGCTGGTGCCCACAAAAGAAGCATTTAGACCCACCCTGGGCCACAAGGGAATCAGCTGCCCCCACAGGAAGAACCCACCAAGGTTCTGGCCGGCTTTATCACTGGAAATTTCTTGGGCTTCAAATAAATTTCAGTGGCAGGCAGGCTGTAGTGACTGCAGTCCTTGGGCAAGCCCTGATGCTGCATAGATCTGGAAGACCCTGGACTTGAGGTGTGAGCCAGTATGACGACAGCAGCTGCAGCAGCTATGGGAATGCCTGTATCACCGCGCCCCACACTCCAGGCAGTACAGCCTGAAGACAGATTCTTTTTGCTTGGGGGAAAGAAAGGGAAGTAAGCTAGGGGCTTTACCTGGGAATGCAGAGAACAATCCCTGATCTCCCCCAAGTCTACAGGGCTGGGGACCTAGGAATCTGTAAGAATTGCAGTGTACCTGGGCCTAGGGTGCCCTGTAGTACAAACATGGCTGCAGTGATCACTGGCTTAGGGAACTCATCAGCCTACTTTGAATTCCTGGAAGGTCCTCTGAAGGGCAGGTACAAACAAGACCTGACTTCAAAGGCTGGAATAAATACCTTATCCTTCAATGCCCGGATATTGACAAACATCGACAGTATCAATAACATTGAAGTCAATATGACCTCAACAAATGGACCAAGTAAGGCACCCAGTGACCAACCCTGGAGAGATGGAGATGTGTAACCTCTCAGGGAATTCAGAATAGCTATTTTGAGAAAGCTCAATGAACTTCAAGAAAACACAGAGAAACAATTCAGAAATATACCAGAAATTTAACAAGGATACTGAAGTAATAGAAAAAAATCAAACAAATCCTGGAGCTGGAAAATGCATTAGTGGGTCTCAGTAGAATTGATCAAGCAGAAGAAAGAATTAGAAGCCCTCATCTGAGGATAATGTGTGGTCATGGCCCCTTTGGCCAGGTCAGTTTTTGTGACCTGTTTTTTTTTTTCTTTTCCTCCAGCATCTGTTTTTCTCTGACACTCAGCTTTCCTGAAAAGTGTTTAGTGTTTCTAACTCATCCAAGTTTTCCAGCTGTATTTTTCTTTCTCATCTGCTGCAGTTTTCATCTTTAAACTAGCTAGATCTGTAGATGAAAGAAACAATGAGGTACCTCCAAAATTGAGTTAGATCGGTGTAACCAACAGAAAATGATGAGATTAGATAAACACAGGTGACCTGAGCCAATGGAATATAACTTAACAGTTAAAAAACTCAATAATATCTATAAGGCAAACATTATGACAGGGAATGTCATTATGATATTACAATTATTCATCTCTCTAAGATCTCTCAGATTTGAAGGTCAACTTTCTCCAGTTTTTTTTCATAATTGTATCAGACTGAGGCACTAAATTCTAGGACACCTCTATATTTTTCTTGAATTATAGATTACTTGTCTTCCTTCAAATCTTTTTTAGAAATTCACTTATCCAATAGTCAAAGAGGATTCTTCTTTACATTTTTATTAATTCTGTTGACCTAATTTTACTGTGTCTAGTCAGGTCCTATTCCTATTCTGGGACAGATGAGATTCTCAGTTTTATAGATAAGTAATAGATAGGGGAAATAAGAACTAGACAGAGAATAACCTGGAGTCTGTGGAAGGTTTTAGAAACATGAGAAGAAAACAATGAACACCAAAAGTAAAAGAATGGCATAATTTCAAAAAATATTTACTTAAAAAAATAAAAATTAATTTAAAATCTGTTTTGTACTCTCAAAAAAAAGGTTAAAGAAAACATGGACTCTATAAAACAATACACGAAGCACAAGATAATAAGGTACTAGACTGAACTGTAAAAAGAGCAGGCAGAGTTAGCAAACAATGCCACAGCAGAATTTAAGAATAAAGAGCAGAATTAGCAATACCTAAAACTAAATCAATTTTGTGAAGAACCAGTATCAGAAATTTGCCCAAATGCCAAAAGAAAGGACAAAGAGATGAAAATTATCAAAGAAGAAATAATAGATATGGAGGAAAGACAATTAAAATGCAACACATAGATATCGATGCTCCTGAAGAAAAGTCAGGACAAGTGAACCATAAAGCCCTAAAGATACAATAGGAGGAAATTTTCTTGAGCTGATAAAAGACCTGAAATTGCAAATTGGAAGGGACTCATCATGCACCAGGGAAAAAATATCTAGAAATTTTAATTTGCAAGTATAAAGACATAATTCTATAATTTAGAAATGTAATGACACAACCCCTGCAATGGTTTTTTGTACCACTGTTGAACAGCTGTTTTCACATTCTTGTCTGCTTGTGAACACAGAGTAGGGTCATACTTCTCTCATTGGAGGTGAGGCTTCCTTGAAGATAGTAGGTATTTCAAATGTCAACTGCTGAAAAGAGAAAGATTCTAAGATGAGAAAAGAGAATTTGGAAGGTGGACCTTAAACAGGAACAAGTGGGAATTCCTTTCTCTGAGCCTCATTCTCTTGAGGCTGTGATCCAAAGAGTCATAATATGCTCACTAGTGCTTCCAAAAAAAGAAGGGAAAATGGCATCTGCCATATGGAGGCATCTAGGAACTAAGTTGGGGAGTTAATGAGTTAATACAAGTCAAGATCTTAAAACAGTACCTGGCATATAGTAAGTACTCCACAAATATTAGCTATTATCACCATAATTATTCCATGTGATATGATTACTGTAATTTAGCATAGCCTTATTATTATTACTGAGACAGTCTTGTTCTGTCACCCATGCTGGAGTCTAGTGGCACAATCTCGGCTCACTGCAACCTCCACCTCCCGAGTTCGAGCAATTCTCCTGCCTTAGCCTCCAGAGTAGCTGATACTACAGGCATAGGCCACCACACCTGGCTAATTTTTGTATTTTTAATAGAGACAGGGTTTCACCATGTTGGCCAGGCTGGTCTGGGACTCCTGACCTCATGACACCCACCTCAGCCTCCCAAATTGCTGGGGTTACAGGCAGGAGCCACCGCACCCGGCCTCGTCTTATTATTAAATGATGCACCTTAGACTCAGCTTTGATAGAGATTTAAGAAAAGGGTTTATATGATCTGGAAGGTAAAAGAGAGAGATTCTTCCTCTCCCTCAGAGGCCGCTGTTTGTCATAGGGATGAGCAATAGCTCAAAAGGAAAAGAGAAGCTGGAGTGAGCATAAGGAACCAAAACTCACGGCTCTCAGTTTCAGGCAACCCTCTGAATGTGGCACTAGTCCTTCCAGTGCCAACTGTGGATGAACACAGTGTTTACCAAGTTATTTAGGGGAAAAACAACATCAGGCTGGCACCATACTTCTCCATAACACATTAAATCTCAGAAAAGAAGAGATTATCCACAGAATACTGAGGATGAAAAACTTAAGCTGAAAACTCCACAACAAGCCAAATTTTACTCATGTGTGAAGCCAATTGAAAGGCACTCTCAATTATGCAAAAGCTCAAAATACCTGCAAACCCTTCTTTAAAGAAAAATTTACTTCATAACCCACTCAAGCTAAAAGAGAAATATATTTTTTGTTTTTGTTGTTGTTGTTTTGTTTTGTTTTGTTTTTTGTTTTTTTGAGACGGAGTTTCACTCTTGTTGCCCGGGCTGGAGTGCAATGGTACGACCTCGGCTCATTCAACCACCACCTCCCGGGTTCAAGCGATTCTTGTGCCTCAGCCTCACGAGTAGCTGGGATTAGATGCGTGCGCCACCACACCTGGCTAATTTTTGGATTATTAGTAGAGACAAGGTTTCACCATGTTGGCCAGGCTGGTCTCGAACTCCTGACCTCAGGTGATCCATCCGCCTCAGCCTCCCAAAGTGCTGGGATTACAGGCATCAGCCACCATGCCCGCCCAAGAGAAATATTTTTAAAAGAATTCAAGACCGGGCATAGAGGCTCATACCTGTAGTCCCAACATTTTGGGAGGCAGAGTTGGGAAGACCGCTTGAGCCCAGGAGTTTGAGACTAGCCTGGGCACATTGTGAGACCGTGTCTCTACAAAAATTTAAAAATTAGCCAGGCATGGTGGCACACGCCTATAGTCCCAGCTACTTGAGAAGCTGAGGTGGGAGGATCACTTGAGTCCAGGAACTACAGTGAGCTGTGATTATGCCATTGCACTCCAGCCTAAACAACAAAGGGAAATGCTGTCTCAGAAAAAAAAAGAAAGAAGTCAAGAAGGTAAAGTATGAAAGAGGCTGATGATGAATACTGAAGACATTTAAGCAAATAGTCATTAAAATGAATTAAATGTAACTATTTGAAGTATAGTTACAAAACAGAATACAAATATCATAAATAATCCTTAACAAAAACATATTTTTAAAGTAAGGTTTAAAATCCCAGATTACACCAACATAAATTTGGGTATTGTGTGGGGTGTAGGGAGTAACAAAGAAGGAGAAATGTGAGAAAGTAGAAGTGTCCTGGTATTCTCAACTTACAAAGATACTATTTTATTCTCTGTGTTAGTAATAAGAAAAATATAAAGTTGCATGTGTTATTTTAAAACAAAATGCATGCCTTCCAGATTACTAGGAAACAAAACAAGAAACAAGGACTACACAGTCCATATAGCAAAAAGAAGAAAAAAAACAGGAGAAAAGCAAAAATAAAGACCAAACACACAAAATACAAGAGCAGAATCATTAAACCAAACCAAAACATTGATCTTTATTAATATAAAATATAATATGCAACAAAGATATACTATGAATCATTTTTCACTCAAAAATAAGGCACTGGACTGCATGAAGCTCTCAGAACTACATGGAGATATGGACAGAAAAATAGTAGCAATAAAAGACTTCAGTCCTTGATGAATTGGTAGAAGGCAAAAATAAAGAGGACCTCAATGTAATTTACAAGTCTGATTTAATGGATATGTAATGAAATGTTAAACAAAATATTTCCTATGTCTTGGAGTTTCAGTAAGGTTACATAACCAAGGACAATAAATGCTCAATGTCTACACTTTCTAAAAAGTGGTACAAGGCACAATCTAGAATTCCTTAAAAAAAGAAGTAGCCCCCAAATGGTCTTGCAACTCCTAACTCACAATCCACCTCTGGGTTATTTAAGAGAAGTTAAGGGTTAACCGATAGGAGCAGTCTTTGAAGAGAGTTGTCAGACTAGAAGAAAGAGCTGTGGTGTTTCTCATCCCCTTCCCTCACTCCCCTCCAAGTAAGGGGCTCAAGGAAAACCCCTGAGACTTTTCTGGGAAGCACTTGCTGGGAGGGAGGCCTGACCTCTTTCTCACTAGTCATTAGCGGTCTATTCGTCTGCAGAAGTTCACAGGTTCACCTCCGGCTGCCACAGTAGCCAAGCTTGCAGGAGCTTGATGTGTGTCCTCAGAATTTGCTGGGACATAGACACAGTGACCTTCCCTTGCCCAGGGAAAATTGGAGGCTTGAATAAGTGTTTCTTGTGGGCCAAATTCTTCACCATCGTATTATTTTATTATAGTAAACACCACCAAAAAAAAAAAATCCAAAAGGTAGATTGGTTAAGTTACTCATGACATAACCATATGATGGAATGTTATTGAGTCAATAAAAATGCTATAAAGTCTTTGGCATGAGAAAATATTCATTATACACTTTTTTTTTTTTTTTTTTTTTTTTTTTTTGAGACAGAGTCTCGCTCTGTCGCCCAGGCTGGAGTGCAGTGGCACGATCTCCGCTCACTGCAAGCTCCGCTGCCTCCCGGGTTCACGCCATTCTCCTGCCTCAGCCTCCCGAGTAGCTGGGACTACAGGTGCCCACCACCACACCCGGCTAATTTTTTGTATTTTTAGTGGAGACAGGGTTTCACCGTGTTAGCCAGGATGGTCTCGATCTCCTGACCTTGTGATCTGCCTGCCTCGGCCTCCCAAAGTGCTGGGATTACAGGCGTGAGCCACCGCGCCCGGCCTATACACATTTTTTTGAGACAGGGTCTCACTCTGTTGCCCAGGCTGGAATGCACTGGTGCAATCACAGATTACTACAACCTCAACCTCCTAAGCTCAAGCAATCCTCCCACTTCAGCCTCCAGAGTAGCTGGGATTACAGGTGTGCACCACATTGCCTGGCTAATTTTTTTTTTTTTGGTAGAGACAGGGTCTCCCAAAATGTTACCCAGGTTGGTCTCAAACTCCTGGGCTCAAGTGATCCTCTCACTTCGGCCTCCCAAAGTGCTGGGATTACAAGTTTTAGCCACCATGTCTGGTCTATAATACTACAATGTATTTCTCTCTCTCTCTCTTTTTTTGAGACGAAGTCTTGCTCTGTCACCTAGGCTGGAGTGCAGTGGCACAATCTCAATTCACTGCAACCTCCGCCTTCCAGGTTCAAGCGATTCTCCTGCCTCAGTTTCCTGAGTAGGTGGGATTACAGGCATGTGCCACCATGCCCAGCTAATTTTTGTATTTTTAGTAGAGACAGGGTTTCACCATGTTGGCCAGGATGGTCTCAAACTCCTGACCGAAAGTGATCCACCCACCTCGGCCTCCCAAAGTGCTGGGACTACAGGTGTGAGCCACCGTGCCCAGCCCCATAATATATTTCTAAAATGAAATATAATGAAAACTATATAACAAAATAGTATGCTCATTATCTTAGTTCAAGCTACTATAACAAGATACCGTACATTAGGTGGCTTAAACAACAAAGTTTTTAAAATTTTTTACTCTTAAGTTTTGTGGGTGCATAGTAGGTGTATATATTTAACAAATATTTACTTCTCACCGTTCCAGATGCCAGAAGTCCAGGATCAGGGTGCCAGCCTGGTCACTTCTTGGTGAGGGCCCTCGTTCTGGTTCACAGACGGCTGCCTTCTCACCAGATACTCACCTGTTAGAAACAGAGCGTGCTGGTTCCTTCATCTCCTTGGAAGGGCATAAATCCCATCATGGGGCTTCACTCTCATGACCTCGTCTAAACCTAATCACCTCCCAAAGGCCCCTCCTCCAAATTCTATCACATCGGGAACTAGGGCTTCAACATATGCATTTTGGGGGTACACGAACAGGATCCATTTTTTCAATATTGGATCACAAGGATTCCATAGCACTCCTTGTGATCCAATTTTGGGAAAATCAAAAGGTATATGTGCATTGTTGTGGGTATGCATCACGTTAACCAAGAATAAGAATGAATATCCCAGACTTTGGAAATATGCCAGTGTTGTACTCCTTTGCAACTGTCTTAACGTCATGGTGGCAAATCTCAATCCAGTGGTAAAGGTGGGGACTTCTTTAAAATAAGTGAATGTCCCCGCTGGTAGTTATCCCAAGAAGTGGTTAGTCCTGGAGCAAGAATTGGTGGGACAGTAGAGAGAGCTTTCTGCTCTGCCTGACTGAGTACAGATGGCAGGGGACGAGAGGTTTGGAACAGTTCATACAATAAGAATACGAACATCCTTTACTTTGAACTTCAACTAATATATTCAATTTTAAATTTAATCTCTACATATTCTTCCCCTTTGTTCACAAAATATATGGATCAAATTCATTCTGCATATAATTATACTAAGAGAATCCCAAAATTAGTTTTAATAAATGGAAAAAGTTGGTGTTATATATTTCAGATAATGCCTCTGAATCTTTCCAAATTTGGGAGCTCTACAATCATCAGTCTTTTCAGTATAATTTGAATAATCAACAATCAAAACTTTTAAATATACATGTATAAATATATATTGAAACTAATTAACAATGAAGGAAAACTGAATATAAACTCATAATAATAATAATAATGGGTAAAAATTATTGCATACTTACTATAAAGTGCTGCTTTTCCTGAGGGCTTTATGTATATTACTTAATCTTCATAATAACCTACGAGATAAGATACTATTACTATCTCTATTTTTTAGATGAGGAAACTGAAGTATAGAGAGTTTAGTGACTTGCATAAAAGCACACAATATTTAATCTTCTTTATTCCTCAGGAACACGGCCTCAAGAACAACCAAGCACTTGATACAGAGTTACCTCTAACTCATATGAACCAATCAAGGCCCTGGACAGGGCGGTGCATACCAGGTCAGCACCAAGGTCGATATATCCAAAATGAGATTGTATAAGAGGAAAGGACTGGAATGCACCTCCAAAAAGGTCTGGAAAAGTGAGAACCAACTAGGCAAGAGGTTCAAAGCTCAAGGAAGATGAAGGGAAATTCTTGAGTCAAAGCACAAATGGTTGGAAAATATCTTTAGGCTTCCTGAGGCTATGCAGTGAGCATATCTAGAGAAAGCGGGGCGGGAGTGGAAAAAAGCAAAGAGCAAAGCTAGCACCACTCTGGCCCTCAGTCCCCTTTCTCTAGGCAAATTGGAGCTGACATTTTCCTAGTGTGAAGGCGCTCACTCACTCTAGGAAAGTTCTGAGATGGGGAGCAGAGTCTCACAGCCAGTCCCCAGTCAGTGTGCATAAGAATCTCCCGGGAAGCTGTTAAAAATGCAGGTTCCTTCTTAAAAAAAAATTGAACTCACAAAAGCAGAGAGTAGAGTGGTGATTACCAGCTGGAGCGGCAGGTCGGGTGGGGTTGGGGAGATGTTGGTCAAAGGATACAAAACTTCAGTTAGATAAGAGGAGTAAGTTCAAGAGAATTTGTGCAATATGTTGACTATAGTTAATAACAAAGTATTGCATTTTTGAAAATCTCTGAGAGAGTAGATTTTAAGTATTTTCACCACAAAAATAAATATCTGAAGTAATACATATGATAATTACCTTGATTTCGCCATTCCACAATGTATACATATTTCAAGACATCATTTTGTGCATGATAAATGTATTTAATTTCTACTTATTAATTAATTGACTCCTGATTCCTCCTGGGAGTCACTTTCAGAAATCCCAAGTCCACTGGTCTACATTCGGGCTTATGAATCTACATTTTAAATAAGCTCCCCAAGTCGTTAGAGAACCACACTTTGAGAAAACTGCACCTGGCCGGGCGTGGTGGCTCACACCTGTAATCCCAGCACTTTGGGAGGCCGAGACGGATGGATCACGAGGTCAGGAGATTGAGACCATTCTGGCTAACACAGTGAAACCCCGCCTCTACGAAAAATACAAAAAATTAGCCGGGCGTGGTGGCGGGTGCCTGTACTCCTAGCTATTCGGGAGGTCGAGGTAGGAGAATGGCGTGAACCCAGGAGGCGGAGCTTGCAGTGAGCTGAGATTGCACCACTGCACTCCAGCCTGGGCGACAGAGCAAGACTCTGTCTCAAAAAATAAAAATAAAAAAGAGAAAACTGCACCTATACATTTTCTAGGTATCAGGTATAGATACTATCCATGGGACCATTGGGAAATAAACACTTTTCCTCTGAATACTTGGGGTTTCCTGTCCAGCTTACACTGGTGACTTAGTGGGGCACATAGGGGAGTTCAGAGACTCAGTGAACCTGGCACAGTGGGCAAAACTACAAGATAGGATGTCTATCCATGAAGGGACACAGCTAGAGTAGGATGCCACGGAATTGGTGATATGTCTCAAAAGATCCCAGACTTACAATTGCATTTGAATCTACAACTATATCACAGTAAGTTAAAAGTTTCAAAAGAAAATTCCTAACAGAGATCATCCAGCCACAGGCATGGGCAGGTGCTATGTATGTGCCTGGAGAAGAGGTACTAGGGTGTTTCCCAGGGATCTAGTGTTAGTGTCAACTCCTGGACCCAGTCCTTTGCATTAATTTGGAGGAAGGGGGTGAAATAGTTAGCTGTCAGTATGTGGATGGTGCTGGAAAGTGTGAGAGTACAGTAGGTATGAACACTGCAGTTGCTATGAAAAAGGACGGTAAAGTGGTGTGAACAAACACTTGTCCAAAGGACACAGACTGATCATCTTGTCAATCGACTCTTTATAGCACATCTATGGGACTGGCTGTCAGTCTCTGGATGAGTGGCAAACAATGGCTACTAGTTATGAACATGACATATTTTGAAAAGCTCCCTTGGAAAAATAGCACAAACTGGGGACTCGGAGCCCAGATGGTTTGACTGTCCATGGAGGCAGAACCAAAAGATCTCACTATTCTAAGAGGATGGCAGCAGCTAGAGTGGATCGGAGAATATTACCAGCAGTAGAGATGGGAGGACAAGCCATTTTAGTGTCAGAGTCCACCATCAGCAGTAGAGACTTGCTTTGAGAGTCAATTGGATACTAAATGCAGTGTGAAGGTTCCTAAAGACATTCCTCAATCAAAATCAGGGGGTAAGGCAATCCCTTGAATCACCTAGGCCTGTCCTTTACCTGGACACAAGTGGTACAGTAGGGAGAATTCTGAATGGTGTCACCCAAAGCTTTGCATAGGCCTTAGGCCAGCAGGCATTGTACACCTTTCTCTGCTATTCCTGGTTACTGAGACTCCAATCTCCACTGTGCATCCCAGTAAGCCACCAAGGTAAACTGCTTGCCTTGATCGTCTCTCTCAGCACTCTGCAGTACATACAGTCTTGAATGTCAGTTAGGCGCTGTTACGTGGGAATCTACCTACTTCCCTAATAGATATAGCCAGGACACAAAGTTCTCTGGTTATGACATTCCCATAATAGAGCTGCCTCCACAGCTCCTTGAAATTCTGGATCAGGGATTGGACATCTAACAGGTAGTTTTGACTGCTTGGCATGACAGAGTTCAATCCAATGAAAGGAAGACACGGTCCCTTGTGTGTAATGAATCTGCAAGTCACTTATTCAAACTGTAGTAGTCTGAACTCAGACGCTGGATGTCAGGTGCCCTCAGGATTGTCTTCCTGGGTCTTGACTGCAGCCACTGCTACACAGGGTGATTTCCTGGGCTGGAGCCAGTTTGCAGGACTATGAGACTATGTGGACTACAAAGACTAGCTAGGCCCCAGGGCGGCGGCAGAGTAAGCCCCACAGCAATGCATTAAGCCTTCATGAAATGAGTGTTGAATGAATGAGGTAGTGATTCAGTGTATATTTGATCCACTGCAACAGGTGGGAAGGGGGCAGAAGGAGCTACTTCCTAAAATAACCCTTCTTCAGACTCTTAAAGAACTGATCCTTGTTTTGAATTAAAATCTGTCTTCATTTAACTTCCAGTCCTTTGCCCTACAGATAACTGTCAGCGCCACATCAGTTCTACCCATTCTTTCACATGAAGACAGATGTCATGTTCTGAGTCATCTTTTTTCGCCTCCTTCCACCCGTCCTTATCTGGTGACTCACATTTGAGCGAGCTCCAATATGTCTCTGTATAATCTCTTTTTTTTCCTTTTCTTTTTTTTTTTTTTTTTTTTTTTTTTTGAGACGGAGTTTCGCTCTTGTTGTCCAGGCTGGAGTGCAATGGCGCGATCTCGGCTTACCGCAACCTCCGCCTCCCGGGCTCAAGCGATTCTCTGGCCTCAGCCTCCCTAGTAGCTGGGATTACAGGCATGCGCCACCACTCCCGGCTAATTTTGTATTTTCAGTACAGACGGGGTTTCTCCATGTTGGTCAGGTTAGTCTCGAACTTCCGACCTCAGGTGATCCGCCCGCCTCGGCCTCCCCCAAGTGCTGGGATGAGCTACTGTGCCGGGCCTGTAAAATCTCTTAAAAGTGTGGTACACGGAGTGCAGTACTCCACCTGTGGCCTGACTCATATGCAGTACAATATTATCACTAAATTGCTACAGACGGTGTGCTTTTCGTTGTTGTCACAGAAATGTATTTGGTTAGTTATATTTGTTAACGTCTCGTCTGACTTTCCAGTCTTCCCTCACTTTGTGCAATCATATTTGCCGAGTCAAGTAAAAGTTATAACATTTAGGACACAATGCCTGACTTACTATAATTACCATTATTATCTTATGATCTTTACAAAACAGAATTGCCACGTAGGTCTCAGGCCCTACCTCCTTCAGCCTCCGAAATGTTAAAGTTACCTTGCACTGCATGCTTATAGTATCGCCCCTAATAAGCCCCGCTCCTGGGGCCTCCGCGGCTGGAGCCTAGCGTTTGCCCCACCCACGCCGAGCCCGAGGCGGGGCTCCGGATGTAGCCGCTGATTGGCTGGCTGGGGCGCAGCTTGATGGCGTCGGGCTGGAGAGCCGCAGTCCCGGCTGCGGCACCTGGGAGAAGGCGGACTGTGTAAGGGGGCCTGTGACCCCAGCGTGCCGTGGCCTCGGGGAGTGGGAAGTGGAGGCAGGAGCCCTCCTTACACTTCGCCATGAGTTTCCTGATCGACTCCAGCATCATGATTACCTCCCAGGTGAGTCACCGCCTCCCTCCCCGACACCCGTCCGCCTCCCTTTCCCGAATTGCCCTCTCAGGTCCTCCGCGGTGCGGGCTGGTCCGGGGTCTGGCGTCTCTCTCTAGCTGCCTGCGCCAGTTACTCCGGGACCCAGAGCGCGAAGAGGGTGTGTGATTTGCTGCCTCCGGTTCCCTCTACCCCGGCTATCAGGAGGCTGGCCTGCGGCCGTCCGCGGCCCCACCCGGCATGCGTCCCTGGAATTTCGGTCCACTTTTGGAAGGGGTCCGCCGGCCTCCACGCTTAGAGCCGGCGCCGCCAGCTAAGGCGGCAGTCCTCAGAGCTCCTCGAAGCTCCTCGAAGCTTCCGGGCTGCGCCGCTGACCCTGGGCTGGGGAAGCCTGTGTGGTTCCGGGCACCGGGTGTGCGGCGCGCCAATCAGGGCTGGATACTGAGGACACGTCAGTGTAGGCTTTGCTGTTAGATGTCATATCTGCATCCAGGTGTGGAGAAATTTGCTGCTTCAGAGTGTCAATATAAGGTTATACGTATGCTTAAAAGTATAAAGTTTCGTTTTTGCACTGACACCTCATCCTTTATCCTATGCTTACTTACCCACCTTTTTCGGATGTTTTTCTGACCCTCATTTCTTCTCCATTGGTCACCTTCATTTGTTTGTACAGTCAACAAACATTTATCGACCGTTATATAAAGCTCTGAGCGTACAAACATATAAGACATTGTCTGTGCTCAATAGAAGCTTCGTCTAGTGAGCCTCTTGCTTTTACCATGTAATCCATTGTTAATTATTGTTTCTTCCTAGCATTTATCATAGCACTGGCATCATTTATGTATGTGTTTATGATTTTGTTTTTTGAAATCCTGCCTTGTTCATAGCTGTATCTCCACTTTTAAGTGCAGGCATTCAATAAATAATTGTTGGCCAACTGTTAATATTTGTGAAGCTCAGACTACCTATTTACCTTTTTCCCCTCGTCTTTCCAATAATTTGAAGATTTTTTTTTTTTTTGGTTGTTTTTACTTGTTCTTTCTCTCAAACGGCAAGTAACAGAAACAGTTACCTTTTGGAGCTTAAAGTGAACTGAATTTTTGTTCTTTGATTCAATTTTTGTATTGCTTCATCCTAATACTCGTCTCCGTATAGCGGAGCATTGTCCTTTTCTGTTCAAAAACTTTTACAATGTTTAAGAAGATAAGAAAGAAGGAAAAGCCATCCATGATCCTACCACTCTAATGCAATCTTTTTTAAAAAAAAATTTTTTTAATTTACCACCTTTCTATAGTTTTCATAATTGTTTTTATTGACTGCGTACTATTCAAATGTATTGTTAAAAAACCTGGACATGTAATTCTTCTGCTTAAAACCTTTCTAAGACTACCCAGTGCCCTTG